ATGGAATTAATTTTATGCATTTTAAGATAGTTAGCTAAGTGTATAGTACAATAGAATTAAATTCATATCAATAAAATGCTAACACTTTTTTTTTCAAACTTTATATTAATTAAGGAAGTGCGATATTTATATGGCACTGACCGAGTTTTGAAATTAAAATTTCTAAATTAATTATTGTAGATTGTACCCATGTTGCCTCCTGTATGCATAATATTATGCAATTGAAACTTAATTGGAAAACAGTCTGGCATTCAAGTTATTGGAATTAAAATAATAATGAATGCAAATTTTATGATGAATTAATATGACTGTGTAATTTTCGATCATATCGCTTTATGAAGTTGCACCATTTATTCATATAACAAAAAAAAAGGTTTCATTTGATGCAGTCTTATCTTGCTTATGCAGAAGGGTTGTTTAGACACTCTGTCTGATTGATTTAAACTACAAAGACAACAGAGAATAGAAAAACAACACTGTCAACTGTAGGCGATGATCAAAGTCACTTTTAGGACCTTTTTGGGGGTGTTTTTACATTACAATCAAAATATTATATCACGATTCCATGAACAAAACACAAATCCATATGTTTTGAATAGTCTTTATGAAAATGAATGAATATAAACAAAAGTTGATGTGGGATGAATGTCAATTAGACAGCAACCTAACCACACAAAATTTTTTGTAATAAATTTTATAGGATGTCCAGTAAGTACTTCTTCAAGGTAAATGTTATTATTTTACTGTAAAAATTAGATGGACTATTATTTTACTCATTAGATTAGAATCACACATTATAAATTTGGTGCATCTAGAGCACTGCTTTGGATCATCAGGAAACACAAAACAGAAAACGGATTTATGTAAGTTCTTCTTGTTCGTGAATCCCTGTATTTCTATCGTATAATTGTAATTTGTGCACTTTTGAAAATAAAATATTGTTTAAAACACTAAAACAGAAAACTTGAAAGCCAAGAATGTATTAATACTTGAAACTTAGCAATATGACCTAAGCAGATTGGTGCAAAATATTCAGTTTAATTTTGGTATCTATTAATTAAATTATGTATTTGTATATTTGGTTTCCCAATTTATGGATCTAAGTGTTCCTCATGTAACTTCCAGAATAGTGTTCAAAAACAGCAATGGCTGTAATTTAAGTTATGCTTTGAGTTATAGAAACATAGAATTGTATATTCACCACATGTGGCAGTACTTAATTGTGGGTGGTTACTGTGAAAAACTTATAGTTTGGCAAGGATCAATTTGAAGCTCAAATCAATTGAAAAGTAATAAAATATTATAAAAATATCTCTGTAGAAGTAAAAATGGTATAACTTCAGCTGCGCTGCACCTGTCCATTATGTAATATGCACCGGAGTTTGTAAGGTGCATCAATGCTTCACATCGGAAGTTCACTGCACGTCTGCTGTAATGAGCACCCTTAGTTTATTTTAGGGTTTATGCTCTACTTATACAGATAAAGGATCAGTCTTGTATGGACTAATTAAAACTGTCCAACAATTGTGATAGTTGATATTGGAAGGAGAGGAAAAAATGTGCATATCAAAAAGTCTTGTTAATCAAGGTTTGTCCTTAAATTTTAATTGGCCTTTAAAGGACTGAATAACATTTTTGCACCCCCACCTCCAACTTTGTAAACTATTCTGCTGCTACCCAATGAGTATATAATCTACAAAACTTTGTGTCCATAAGATAGCTTTAAAGTTAATATTGCTTCTCTGAGACTAATATAAAACATGCGTTATTATAGTAGTCTCAGCTTTTCTGCTGTTATATTTTCAAAGAAATCAACAATTAAGGTTTTAAACTTGACATAGCTATACAACAAGTTGGATCTAACAAATCTTTATTATGCACTATTAATGAGAACATTTGCTGTCATCAACACAAGCAGTGTTAAAGAAAAATATGAAAGTAAAAAGCACCAACACTAATGCTATCAATTTCACCACCTGCCACTCAAAGAATTTTAATTGATTTCGCTGCAGTGAAAATTTGACTTGGTGGTTTGGTAATCAGTTTTATTGAAAGTTCATTACTGTTGATTTTAAATGATATTAAATTAATTACTGTCAGAACCACGTAGAAGATTGAGGCAAGCCACAACAGTCTTTGTTGTATCAAAGGTCAAACTTAATTCAATTATAACAGAGAAATGCATGCCATTGTAAAGCAATGAAATATTACATAATCTGCACTGTATACCGGTTCTATTGAAGACTCTACAGGACCAGAAAATTAACTAGTGTTGATTCCAGAAATTAAATTGTAATAAACATTATTTGAAGTTATGCTAATAACAATAGTTTAAGCCACCTAATAGTAATCTTATAAACATTTTTAGTAAAGTTAAACACACCCAATGACCCTCTTCTAAATTAAATAAAAATTGATATTTTGTAGCAAAAATCTTATTTGTTTTGACCATGATTGCACGGTTTACAAAACATGTAAATTGGGTTATAAGAGAGGGAGATGGTGTCCTATAGACACATATTTTATCTTGTTAATATCGTGAGTACTGGTAGTGTATACAGATAGGATTGTTTCAGTCATAAAATGCAGCTATGTGTTTCATAATATGCAGCTAGTATGTGTTTCATAATATGCAGCTATGTGTTTCATAAAATGCAGCTATGTGTTTCAGAAAATGCAGCTAAGTGTTTCATAAAATGCAGTTATGTGTTTGATAAAATGCAGCTATGTTTTTCATAAACTGCTGCTATGTGTTTCACAAAATGCATCTATGTGTTTGTCTATGTCAGGCAAAACTGGTTTATATTGAAAACTTATTTTAAATATAATTTAAAGACTTTTTTCTATCTATACTATATTCACAAACAGGATGTATAGCAGTTTGCATAAATAAATTCATTGCTTTTTAAAAACAAAATGTGAGTCTTCTTACCCATTGGTATTAAAACATCTGATTTATTTACTATCTGACTTGGCAAATTCTTGTGAAATGTCATGACAGCTTTGCAAATCAACTCAGTAGTGGATCATTTGAGATGCAGTTAAGAAAAAATGTATGCAGATAAATTGCTCTGACATTATTATCTATCAAAAACTCAAGGTTTAAAAAAAAAACCAGCAGTTTATATAGTAATTCATATTTTCTACCAGTTTTATGAACGATATATGAGCTTAAAACATTACCCTATTGACAACCTTGCATTGATCATATTTTGCGAATCAAGCTGGGAAAATAATTGAAAATAATATTTATTCACAAAAATTCACCTACTACCTATCAACTTACTGAAATATAATTATCCTCAAAGGAGAGATGAAAGGCGCTACACCTTATTTCATCATAAATAAAATTTCGTTAGATATTTATTTTTTTCTGTCAGCTGAAAAAACTAGCACGAAGAAGCGCATCATTAATAGTTATAATTCCTGAAGAATCCATAATGATGAGTTTTCCTTATGTATTATTAGATAACATCGAGAGGATGTTATGTAAAAGAAGTATTTTATTGTTACAGTTATCTTGGGGAATTCTTTCTGAGTTAATTTTCAAGAAAAGATGGATGTTCTGATTTCCATTTTTTGGTGTGGATGATAATATTTATTGCACCAATCAGCATTTTATTAGTTGTTTTGAATTTATACTGATAACAATAATATATTGAATAGCCTGAAGAAGCCACAATTTTGTCTTTGTGAAATTTATGAAAAAGTAAGAATAAGAAGCTGAAATTTTGCAAAGCAAAATTGTTGAAGAAAATTTGTTTTACAAATTCTACAGTTTTGATGTATGACTGATCCTGAGTAATGAATATTTTTATATCTTAGGGTCTTTTATCTCAGGAATTTTTTTCTTTAATTAATAAGTAGTAAGTAAGATGATATTGAGTTAGTTTATCTCCCCTTATTGTGTGATTTACAGTGCATTCTATACATTGCCAAATACCAACATGAGAAATTAAAACGAATGTTGACTGTTGTTCATTCACATTACTAACTTCTGAATTAGATCTAATATGAAACGCTGCCTTATAATTATGATGGAAACTGTTCATATGTGAACCCAAGAAGTTGTTTATCAAGTTTTACTTAAGGTAGTGACATAATTACATTTATAAATCAGGTAAATTGGCTTTATGTAGGTCACTTTGCCTCAGACACACCAGAATTCTACCAGAATAACTTTGTTTTTAAGGTCTGACATGTTGGCTTGCTAAAATTTGAATTAAATTCACTACTTGCAACAAAATTGGTTATAAAATGAATTGTTCCTATTCTAAATATAGACTTTTACATTCCCATGGGAAAAGTCAAAGACTCTATTTTTTTCCTAGCTTGACAGAAATGACATTCTTGGCAAGTACAGATAGCAGCTCGACTCTTTAAGTTTGCCACTTTAAAAGTGTCACATAAACTTCCTTGTGGTAGCATGGTTCCACACACAACAAGCTTGAGATGGCAAGTAACGTAAAGCTGTATGTTTTTTTATTTAGTCAGGGTCTTCTATATGGACCCAGAGGAAATCTAGAAATCAAAGCTTTAGTTTTACTATATCTGTAATCAACTTTTATATATCAACTAAGTAACCTTTAATTGCCACTTTACAACAGGTAGGAATGCCACAAAGAGGCATGAGATATTGTAAACCAACTATGCAAGTTTAAAAATAACACAAGTGAAACTTTAGATCTTTCCTTATACATGTATAAATATATCAAGAAAATGAGAAGATCTGGAAAATAAATCCCAGTGAAGTTGGCTAGAAAGAACATAAGGCGAAATAAAGTATGCACAAAAGTGATTAAGTTGGTTCACAGAAATTAACCTTTCAAAAGTGGCAAGAACTTAGGTTTTAAATGCTTATTTTGAATAGTTATTTACTTGTTAACACTAGATACTTATTAAGTTGAATTATGATTTTGCAGGCAATGTTTATACTTTATGATTTATATTATGTGCATACATTTTAACAATATTTTCCTTAACTGTTCCCCACATGGTTTGAAAGAGTGAGTATGGCTGTGATTCTACTCAACTGTATCACCCTTGGGATGTACCAGCCTTGTGAAGACAAAGTCTGCTCAACCATACGATGTCATGTTCTGGCTAATTTTGACCATTTCATTTTTGCTTTCTTTGCTGTTGAAATGATTATCAAGATGATTGGCATGGGAATTTATGGAAAAACAACATATTTGGATGATTCTTGGAATAAACTGGATTGCTTCATAGTGATAGCTGGGTAAGTTGACATACAGTGCTTTTAGTACTTTTATATATTTTCCATATTACATTACTAGTTTATAGGTATCTTGCTTATAAAGGAAAATAAAACTGTCTTTGATAATTAAATTATTTTTTCTATGCAGTTTTAAAGGGGAGATAATTCACTTATTTTTCCGTTGCAAATTTCAAAGGATCTGTGGAAGATGATAATACTCTTTATTGTTGATTAGATGGTTTTTATGCAATATCCTGTTTCAGAATCTAAAGAATTGTGGGTAATTTAATTGGTTGTACACCAAAATAAAATACTGTTACAAATGTACACCATTGGTTAGATATCAGTTTGTTTAGTATATCGTTAACCAATCACAACATTTTGGTGTACACTTTTGGAAATACTTCTCAAAATGTATTATATTTTGAAAAGTTAAATTGTTACTTGAAATTCAAGTATGTTTGATTCTGAAAATTCTGAAAATTCTGAAAATTTTCAGAAAGATTCTATGATATTGGATGCATAAAGTATATGAACAATAGTCTTTTGTATTTTTTTCATTGCTGCCTTTTTTCTCTTTAGTTGGTAATATGCAGTATATATAAATATATGCTGCAAGAGGGAAATATGAAATGGATGATGGTGGGTAATGAACTTATAACTGTGAATCTTGAGAGCTCACAATTGATGATAAAATCAAATGTACATTACCAAAAACAACTCAAATAATTAACTTTCCATTAAGCAAAATGTCATATAAACATACACTTTCAAGTTATGGAAATTAATTGAATTGGTTTAGATAACGCATATTACATTGACGCATATTACATTGACGGAAACCATATTATACACTGTACACTTATGGCATAAAACATTAATAATTTATTGATTCAAAGAGAAGAAAAAATCTGAAGATCATCATGAATGTCTGCATTTACTTCATTAAGGCTGTTTTGTCATATCGCCTTTCTCTATTTTTGCTGCTTCTTTGCGGTATTGATATCCCAAAAAACGATTCTTTATGTTCAGTAATTAGTGTAATTTTCTGAATGAAATATTGGACCATAAAGATGTAATTTGTGATGAAAGAGTCGATTTGTCATGCAGTTTTGTGTTTTGAATAGCATTGTCTCAGACTTAGGCAATTGATTTTGCTGCGATAATTTACCATGGTGCAAAAGCAGACACTTATTTTACAGCCATGATTGTTAGAGTTTATTGTTAAATGTGAACAGATTGGAAATACATTATGAATATATTCTCTACAGAGTCAGTATTGTCAAGTTCTTGAATTATTTCGTCTGGTAGATTACTTTACTTTAAGATGTTTGGTGTAAGAAACCTTTCTTTTTATTATTGACTTTTGTCAGTTAAAGCAGGAAAACGTTATTAAGTACCTCACCTCAGTGAAAATAGGGTGACAGTTTATTGGTTTATAAATTCTCTTTGAACAGTGTCAATGACATCTTTGTTATCCAAGGGTTACAAAGCCAAGCAATTATTAGTCAATGATAAATGTTAGGGATGGTGTTGGAAGACATGTTTTGTTTCACTAAAATGTATGATTTCAAAAACAAACATAACAAACAAATGCTTATAATTGGTTCCCTTGGCATCCCTAACCTAAACCACAAAGTTACCTTACTCCCCTAAGGATAAACAATTTAGCATATTTTAAATTGCATCCTCACCCTGAATCAGTTATGAAATATTTGCCACTGGACATTTAGTAAACACATCAATTATTTGCATTTCCCATGGAATGCTACAATTAAATCATAAATCATAATATGCTTTATATTTGTTGCTTTTATATTTCACCAAAAAATAAGGAATTTGGTAATAATGCTTGACAATGAGACAACTATTTGCCATAAGTCCAAAGGGCATGGATGTAAACAAATGCCTGCCTTCAACAATAAGGAAAATCCATTCTGTACAGTAACCCTAACCCTATAGAAAAAAGAACTGTCATGTATGGGCATTCCAGTTGCATGTAACCATCACTAGGTTTTTGTGCTGACTTAATTTTTTATGCAAACTTGAAGACCCATGGGTGGCCTTCGGCTGTTGTCTGCTCTATGGTCGGGTTGTTGTCTCTTTGGCACATTCCCCATTTCCATTCTCAATTTTATTGAAAAAAGCACCGTAGAGGTTTAGATTCATTTTACTGTAAGATTTTTTTTAAAAGGTGTTTTTATTCTGTTACATCTAGTTTTACTTTCTTTTTTTTTACATATCAGTATTTCCTTTTACCTTCGAATCCTTCATGATTTTGTTTTGACCCTTAACCTTTTTAAAAGGACACATTTCAAAAATAGACTGGATATCTTAAGCATAATACCATAGAAAAAAAACCAATATTAATTTTTCTTTTATCACTAACCCTTACCCTTGCCCTTCTGCTTTTAAAAAGAAAAGCTTTTGGGTATCACATATATTTTAGAATACTTACTTCAATTACTGTTAGAATATAGTTTAAAAAAAATCAAATTCATCTATTAAAATACAGTTTTAGCTCACTTTAAAATGATTAAAACTCAACAGGATCTCTCAACAGAATGGCATCTACATTTTTACAATTAATGGAATTGAAGTTGCAATAGATATAGAATGCACTTTAAAACATAGAGTTAAGTGGACAACGTAATCACCGTAATTTAACTTTTATTTGGCCGTTTAGTCTTTACAATACGTATTATTTCAAAGTCATGTAATTTCCTGTAACCATTCACAGAAATGAAGAAGTATGTGACTATCCATTAAGTAAGGATTCAATATCACCCAACCTTGAAATTTTTCTGATAGCTTTGTAAAATATGGAAGATGCATGTCTTGCAGAAAAAGTACTTTTAAAGGAATTCAAGCAGTTAATTTTTCCTGTTTCTTATTTATCATTCAAGTTTTAAGTGCTTCACAAGCCATTGATATATTTGGAATGTTGTGGAAAGCAATGATAGGTTAATGCTTGAAGCATCATGAAATAGGAGTTCCTTGATAATATTGGTTCCAAATGGGAGAAATATATTCTTGAATATTATTTCCACTAAAAACAAAAATTACAATATTTGTTCATAACAGAATAAAGGGTATAGAATATTTTTTGAAACAGGGACAGAAATTATTGCATTGTTTATAGCAAAGTTTCTTGGGAACATTTGTTAGGTGGAAGAAATATGCGTTGACATAAGCAGCAAAATCTGCTAAGGCCAAATTTAAAATATGGTAGTTGCATATTTGATGAATGTTCACAATATTTGTGATGATCATAAGCTATCTGAAGCAAAATTAATGTAAGCACTGTTAAAATTGAGATCAAATTAATGAACTCATTAATAAAGAGAGACAGAAATTGCCTACCTATGCATAATTGTTGGTATCTAACTGTAGTAGGTTCTGCCTAATGACCAGATGAAGGAAGATAATAATTTGGTTCAAATTCAGATCCGTTTGTAGGCCCAAACCTGCAATTTTCATTAAGCATCAGCTAAATTAGTGAAGAGTTAATGTAGTAAGCTTAATTTTTGTGTAGTTAACTCTTCAAGCTTGTCAGATTTTGGGAAAATTCTGTCAATTTGGAGGGGACTTATTTAAACCTGTTTTAAAAACAAACTAACAGCCAAAATTTTTACTATTAGTCCTTTTTTTTTAATCAGTGTGAAAACATGGTCAAATCCAACCTGTGACCTTGAGGGTTTGGTGAGTGACCTTACAACCTGACTGTTCTGATGTCTCATTTTAAAGGACCTGTGACCTTTAACACAGGTTTATTGTTAAACATAAACCTGTCAGATTTGCTTAAAAGTGACATGGTGACTTCAAACAATTTTTGAAATGACCTTGTGACCTAAGAGGGGTACCTTAATGGAGCCTCATCAGTGTTCTTGCAAATAGTCAATTCAAATTTGATTGTTACAAAAGCTACTAAAACATTTATAAAATGAAATTAAAAAAATGAAGAAAAAAATTGCTCAGTAAGTTTACTTATTTAGTGAGTGTCAAACCCTGCAGTTAGTATTGAGGTAAATCTGTTTCACTTGAGCAACTTTGATTTCAAACAGCTAGCTTTTCAAAAAGCTTCTGTAACAATGAATGTAAATAGAATAGCAAGAAAACTAGTTTTCAGATGAATCCTAATAGTAATGTTATCAATTAGAAACTCCAAATGAAATGGGTTGGGATTTCAAAAATTTAGTTTAATTCTGCCAGACATATCCATGCCTCTTCCAAGTGCAGTAACTTTGTCAATGGCTGTCTTTAGTTATAGATATTGTAATGTTTTTTTATGAATATGTCATTGTAATCATATTATGATAGACCTGATACAATAATTACACAATCACGATCTTTACCTGTTTTGCACTACTGATGGTTAAGATTTTTATACTTAACAGGTAATAGGATTTACCGATTTTTTTAAAAATAGGCCTAAGAATAGAAAGAAAGATTACTTTTTATCACAATGAACAGATTGTAAACAAACAAAATAGAAAAGCTGTCATGTTTTGAGTTAAAATTGGAAATAACACTTTTGAAGTGAACTTGATCATGAAATTTGTTCAATGGTCTATCAGTAAAATCTCAGTCATTTTTGCTGCCATTTCAGACTGTTAATAATGTTTTGATTTTTAAAATGTTATGAACAATCTTGTTATGATCAAGATGAAAGACAGCAATAAAAACACTTCCTTTCATAAAAGGTAATTATCTAATTTGTCTGGGGAGTCCTACCTTATGTACATCTGCCCCACATTTCTTTTTCTTCACTTCACCCTTTCTGTACTAAAGTGCCTTGACCCCATAATTTTTTTATATTGTTAAATCGGAATTTTTTATAGCAATAAAACTCCATCCTGAAGGTGCCCTTGGCACCAAAACAGGACAATCAATAAATATGATAAATCCAACCTCTTAGTAGTGTTGACCTTATTCTGGTCCTTCCTTATGATATATTTGTATGATGATATTCTATATAATTAAATTATTATGCCATAGTGCACCTGCCATTCAGGTTTTTA